TTGTTTAACAAATAAACACAAATATAAATATCACAAAGATATTTAAGTCTCTTAACATGAATAACAAATAGTCATGTATCATAATTATAACATCACAAAGATATCTACTAATTCTCGTAACATGAATAACATATATTCATGTATTGTATTAAATAAATATAAACATCACAAAGATATTTACGTCTAATAACATGAATAATATATATTCATGTATCATATAAAATAATTATTTAAATATCACTTAGATAATTAAATAATAAAAAGAAGTCACACAATATTACTAAAATATTGATTTATTCTTTATGTAATGGTAAACATGAATACCATATTAATATTTGTAAACCATAATAATAACAAAAATTATTATTAAACAAAGAATAATAATAATGATTTTTATTCTTTGTTTATATAATAATTAGGCCACAAAACCTAATTATTCCTCCATATAAATATTTTTTTTTTATTATCTCTTTATGTCATTTTCATGATCACAAATTCATGATGACACACATTCTATACTTAACACTTAATTAATCAATAGAATGAAATTTATGTAACAAATACATAAATATATTTGTTTATTAAAAAATACGTCGGAGGAATAAACGGGCTCTGATACCACTGTTAGTGGTTTTATATAACGCATATATAAATATATATAGGATTGACCTTTATGTAGCGGAAGCGATTACTTGCCCGTATATCTTTTATCCGACGGCTACTTAGAGTCGTCGGTATCCTCCACGTTCTAAAACCCGAGCCGCCTTGATAGTTTCGGCTCAACAAGAGAAAAGCACTATATAAAGATTATGTATTTTCTATATCTTGTTTTCTTGTCTCGTATTGTTCACTTTTCAAGATGCACACAAGCACCTTTATAGTTGTCTTAATACAACTATTAACTTAATGAAGACATGACTTCACACTTAATGAAGACATGAATTCACTTCATAACTCACTTCATAACTCCATACATAATGGAGATGAAGTTGTAACACCACCACATTTAAGTGGATGTTACCAATTGATGCAACATATCATCAATTAAAAACAATAGTTTTTGTGACATAAAACGAACAAGCCATATAAGAATGACACATTTAATAACTTTA